AATATAATAATAATGCTCTTTGAGAAGCATTGATGTGCTCCTACTGGTTCAGCTCTTTGTGCTCTTTGTACCAAATCCTACCAACCCTCATACTCTTCTTCCTCCTGCAGGTTCTGCGGCTCCATCTAAGCCACATTGACGACATGAACTGCAATCTGCTGGTGAAACACCTTTTGGCCCACCCGACCCTGACGGAGCTCGACCTTTCTCACAACGTGATCAGAGACGCCGGCGCCAGAGCTGTCGGCAAGCTGCTCAACAAGAGTAAATTGATGGTCCTGAACATGTTTGACAATGAGATCACAGACCCCGGGGCAGAAGCTATAGCTCATGCCTTGTCTAAGAATTCCACTCTTGTGTCACTTAACCTGTGTCTTAACCGCCTGGGAGACAAGGGAGGTCAAGCCATAGGTAATGCCTTGCTTAACAACAACACCCTACGTCACCTGAACCTGGGAGCCAATGAGGTGACAGGCCCCACCGCTATCACTCTGTCTAAAGTGATAGCTCAGAATAACACGCTGAGGAGCATCAATCTCTATGGCAACAACCTTGGCGAGGTGAGTTGAAGCAGTCGTGATGAATTTGTCTCGTCAAATATTCCTATACTCGTGACACGAGTCGAAAATATTGCTGTTCTTTGAACATCGCTGCTAGTGGGGCAAAAATGATAGACATGAGATGATGCTGGTTTCAGAAGGAAAGGACTTAGAATTAAGTATTAGAATACTATAAGAATGTGACCAGTTAAGGGGATAGCACTTTGAAACACTGGACTTTCTAAAACCCCCAAAGCAAAGTGCCTGCACAGACACAAAAGCTTTAAAGCAGGAGGATTTTCAATTATTCATCGAGATGTGGGGAAAACATGGAATAATAGAAAGCTGAGTAAGTTGTTTCCCTGTGAGAGAGAGAGAGAGGTAGACGTGTATTTTCTCCCTCACATGGTCGTTCCTCTCTGAGATTTGTCTACATACTGTATCTCTGACTGAAACACTAGGATGATGCGGAGGATCAAAATTCACCTGCGTTGCATAAACTGCAGGGGTGCAGCACCATCAATATCTTTGACCTTGGTCCACGCTTCACAGAAATAGAAATGACAATCAATAGACTCAATAATTAGCTCATAAAGTAAGATTTATTGTATATAAAGCAAAAGTTGCTTAGGGGTGATGTTCTCAGACCTATTAGAAACAAAATAGGCCCTAATGTGTGTGTGTGTGTTCTCTCTCTCCACATGCCATGTGTTTGCAGGATGGAGGTAAAGCTCTAGAGGAGGCATTGTCTCACAACACCAGCGTGACGGAGTGTGATATCCGCCTGACCGAGATTGACGAGCAGATTGTGTCCGCTATCAACCAGGTGGTTCTGAAAAATCAGGTTTTAGGAACAGGAGGAATCAGCTGGATAGACTGAAATAAAGTAGAAATGGTCAGATCTTCTTTCTACACATCAGTCTTAATTATTGATTCCTGGCCATGTATTTATTCAAATCACTGTTCAGCCACATTTAACCAAATTTGATATAAAACACAAGAGTAACTGGCCACTAGATGTAGAGTCAAGCCTCTAGTGAGGCCATGAACTCCACTTCCTCCATGTTAGCAAATGGGACATGTACCAAAGTCGAAATACATGTTAAATAAATTTTTCTCAAAGATGATTTGTCATTTTAAGTAGTTATTATCACACTGAATGTCCAAGTGCTTATTTTCCCAGTAAGTCTGGCTTT